TAATCTCACTTTAAACTTTTGTTTACTTCTCGTTGGACACAAAAAACTATGTAGTTAAATTGTGTTAAAGCAAGTAAACCACGATTTAACACTTTAAACACATTTGCGTGCTCCTTTTTATTGTTTAGTTATGAGCTCTTTCTCAATTACTCATTTGGTCGACTATTGGGAAAAAAAAGCCTTGCGCGTCAATCTTCTTTTCCCCATATAGATATTAAATAGCATGAGCTTACTTCATAATCTCTCGTCTATAGCTGGGTTTGCATAGGTTAAATCGCCATTTTTTTTTTTTTTGAGATTCTTTTGAAGAGGGTATCTCTTCTTGGACAATGAATAAACCTTTAAAAGCTCTTAGAGGTTGCTAAGAGTTGACATGGGTTGGATTGGTTCGATTTTTTGAACTTAACTTGAAATCGGACTGAATAATACGGTTTGAATAATTTTCAACTCAAACCAACCAAAATTCAATGTAAAATCGAACTGACCTAAAATAAAATCGACACAAATTTTGAGCGTGAAAATAGGATACTCCAAAGTGAAAATTACACCTACCCAGAATTTTAAAATGCCCAATTCAAAAATCAAAAAATTTTGAAAAAATTAATATTAATTAAATTAATCTATCCATCGTTTTGAACTCCCAAACAATCAAAACACCTAACCCTATTCATTTTCCCCTTTCCACTCTCTTCGTATCTCTCCATTATTTGTGTCTTTACCACACACTACACACCGGAGCGGCATGAGATTTCGATATGTGCAAGGTATATAGATTTTGATAGCTGTGTTAATCTAAGAACAGCGTCCCTCAACGCCATTGTGCATCGATGATGGAGTTGTTTGCGAGATTTCGAGAGGTAGAGCAGCGTCGAGAGATCCCGATGTTGTACGAGGTGGAGCTGTATACAGATTCCGATACCGTTGTGGTGTTTGTGATGACAACCAGAGTCTACTAGGCCCCTCTAGTTGGTGGTGTGATTGTACAGTGCTATTGGGTGGTGGTGGCACTGCTAGTGGTAGTTCTCATGGTGGTGCGGTTGTAGTTGTGGTTGTGGTGGTGGTGCCATGGTGGTCTCCCATTTGATTGATCGCGGTGGAACTCATTGTGGTTTTTGGTGGTGGGGGTTAGTTTGTTTGAGATGGTGGATAAGGTGGTGGTGTTGCCCGTTGTTTGCGGCTATGGTGTTGGCTCTAGCAACGGTGGTCACAATTGGTGGTGGAGGTCACACATTAAATGGGCTGATTGCTGTTAATGTGTGACCAATAAACAATATGTGATCAATGAAATAGATAAACTGTGATCAATAAATAATGTGTGACCTAAAAATTTGTTAATTTGTGACCAGCAATTTGATAACTTGTGACCGTGTAATAAGTTGCAATTTGTAAAATTTGTGATTTGTGACTGATAAATAAATTGTAACTTATAAAATTGTTTTTTTATAATCGATAAATAAATTGTGACCTATAAAATGTTTTATTTATAACATATAATTTTTTTGATTTGTGATCGATAAATAATTTATGATTAATTAATTTGAAAATTATGACCAAATTGTATGGAATTGCAAAATTAATATAATTAATTTATAAAATATATTTTAATCAATCATTTCATAAATAAAATTTAATTAATATCTGATTTTTGAAGTTTAAAACCGTATTTCTTAATTTTGAAATGAGTGATAGTCAATGTCTTAGATGTGAAATTTTTCACACTCCAAATTCGAGGTCAAAGAGTTTCAAAAAACGTTTTTTGTGGAAGAAAATACGAATGAAAATCCCACTTAATTGAATTTGAATTTTGGTTGGGACTCCATTCAAATTGAACCATTTAAATTAAACTGAAAATGAAGATTTTTAAAGATTTTTTACGTATTTATTAAAAATTTAAAATATATGGAGATTAAAAAAATAAAATTGTTGGCCCCTCAGAAAAACCTAATCTTAAAATATAACAAAATAGTGATTAATGAGAGGTATTATTAATTAGCAAAATTATATTTATTTCATAATTGTTATTAATGTTTTTTCTTGATTTGGATAGGTTTTTTCAATAAAATCACAATTGATCATGTCTGACAACTTAGATTTAGGTTTGATCGATTTCGCAAATTAAGCACTTGTTCGAACTCAATTTTATCGAAAATTCATTTTCAACAATACATTTTCAATAAAATAATATTACTCTTAAATTGAAAAAAAAATTCTTTATTCTTTAACCACATATTCAAAAATACATTGTCCTAAATAATTAATTAATAAGCCTGAAAAAGGTTTTAGGACTCAGAATTGG